GCCCAGTAAATCCTGTGAAGCACTTTTGGGACGTCCTCCCGAAGTGAAAGGCACTGTAGCAAATGAAGGATTGTTATTATTATTCGAAAAGAGAGGAGTGTTTCTCCCAGTGTCCTGGCCAACAATCCTCAACATAAAATTAGTCATTCAATTCATGGCTGTTTGTGAGATATTCCTGTGTGTAAATTTGCTTCCGTGTTTGCCGACAAATACGCAGTCACTGCACTTTACTGTACACCCCATGAGGATTATTAAGAGTCTTACGAATTTCACGCCGAGCTGTATTGTATACCAAAGGGCTCGCAGGGAGTTCCTGCATTAATAGCTTTCTTGTGTTCCATTGTAAAAAAAATGCTTTTCATTTAATTCTCTCTTTCTACCCCTTGTAGAATCAACCATTTCTCAGCCACACGTACGACAAAGTTATTCCTGAATCAGCCACCAGGAGGCATGCAAGAATTGACTAGCAGGCCAGTTTTCTCACTCTCTGTGGGGAGGTGATTGACCTATTGTAGTTACATACGTCAATGATTCAGGTGCATGCATGCGTTACTTATTCTGGAAAACACAGAAAGCAGAGCCTGGAGCTTTAGTTTCCTTTCAGGTTTTCAATTTCAGTCTGTTAGATTATTTCATCCAGTGGAGTGTGGGGATACCCATTTGTTGTGAATGATTTCATGCAATGTTCAGTTCGTTTGCAAATCAACCTGTGGAGGAAATTCCACTGACTGGGCACTTAGCTCCTTATCACAATTCTTAATTTTAATGCTCCTCTCATTCACGTTAGCATCATGCACCGAACGTTGGATCCCCTCACCTATCTTAACTCTGCTTTCCCTCGAAGCTCTCTTCGTTAAAGCAGAGGAAGGGGCAAGCTTTCCCTGTGAGCTGTCAACACTTTTAAATGGGGAGAGTGGGCATCCTTCTGTACGTCTTCCGCTGGGGTTATTATACGCTAATTTAGCTTGCCAAAGAAAATAACAGCTACGTTAGTGCAATGGAAACATGAATGCATAAATGAAAATGGCAGTCATGCTGTGCCAATTTAATTTAATTTAATTCCTTACATCATTTTGGAAGTGTGCCACCATTGCAATGCACACTGATTAGTTCAGTGTTCACTGCTTACCTACAGTTCTATAGATCTGGGGGCCTTTATATCCATCGGGTACATGTTGGCCATGGATTTAGCATTCACTGTACGAAAGATATGAAAGCACGCAATAATTCTGAGAATCCACAGCATGTTAAAATAGGGGAATAATAGGGCAACATCATTATTTTGGGAGCTATTAAAATGTGAATATTGACAGTCTGCTCCTAATATATATGGTCCATGTTTTGTTTTCTCTGCCAGATAAAGGCAGATAAAAACCTTTATCTTCTGCATAGGCTGCATGGGGATGTTGAGGTTTTGAGCATCAAGGTGTGGGTATGTTTAAGGCTTCCAAATGTGTGGTGATTTTGCAGACGTTTGCCATCAATTATAAACATTTGGCATTTCAAATAGGTTATCGCCGTGTTTATTAAAAAAAAACTTTCAACTCATCCATTAGCAATCCTCAAGAATGTATTACTTCTTCTGGACTTCCTTAAATCTGCGCCATGTTTTGCATAAAGAATTCCCTGTCCTCATAATTTTTTTGGAGATTTTTTTTCTCAAGTGCATCCTTGGGAACTTGTCAGCTCCCCTTGAAAAATCTCCTTGTTTTGCCAGAATTACCAACCATCAATGGGAATTTTACAACTTTGCTTTTCTTCCACGACCAGATCAAAATTCATCACTCCATAGCTGTGGAGCAAATGGAATATTGAGCTTGTTGAGGCACCCATTGGTGATCATTATAGGCACACTTTTCCATTGCCTCTCAGTTTGCTGCTGAATCTAATGGCAGTGAGGCAAACACAGCGGGTGGGAGGTGATACTGAAACGAAAGAGTGGTTAGAGCACTCACCTCGCAAGCGAGAGGTCCTGGGTTTGATTCCCGGACAGGATGAAACCTCAATCCACGACTGTTTGTGGGACACTGCTGTGCGTAATTGGCTACCACGTTTTGCCCAAAAAATACACACTTTACAATATATTCTATGAAGTGCTTTGAGGCGTATCAATGACGTGGTAAGGTGCTATATCAAATTATTAATTATTAATAATAATTAGGATTATTATTATTGTTTATGGTGTTTGATCCACAAGCTCGTAACTGCATCTTGCTCACCGCTGTGAATTTTTGTCTCACATCATTACTTAGATCATTGTCTTTGACACCTTTTGCGAGGTAGGACCATTAACTCCTCCTGTCATGGTCTGAGTATGATAATCCAGAGGTTGGATAAGTTTAGATTTTGTTCATGAATACTTTGTGCCAATAATAACTGACTACAATAGTCAGTTGATACATCCCTACAATAGATGTTGGGATGTATCAAAAGATCAATAACAAGCCGAAATAGTGAGGTATTCCTGCCGCTGTATAAATCATTGGTGAGACCATACTTTGAGTACTGTGTACAGTTCTGGTCGCTGCCACAGTAAAAAAAGGATATTGGAGAAATGGAGAAGATACAAAGGAGGGCAACCAAAATGATTGAGGGAATGGAAGGACTGGACTATGAGAAGCGACTAAGTAAATTGGGCATTTTCACACTGGAAAAGAGAAGATTGAGAGGTGACATGACTGCTGTCTTTAAGATTCTAAAGGGGCAAAACAATATAGATCATGACAGACTGTTTCAACTTGTCCAGAATAGTAAAATAGTAAAACCTGTGACTGAAGAGGGGTAAATTCAAAACGAATCTACGCAAATACTATTTCAGTGAGTGAATAGGGAGACTGTTGAAGAAGGAATTGTTGATTCTTTCAAACACAGATTAGACAGTTTTCTTTTAGGAAATAACATGGTGGGATATATGGTACATAGGTAGTTGGGACATATGTGCATGCAACTGCCAGGAAGGTGGAAGATGAACTAGATGGACCTTGGTCTTTTTTCATGTAGCATTTCTTATGTTCTTATGTTATTACAATAACAACAACTTGCATTTATATAACGGCCTTCACGTAGGCCTCCACATTATTCAAGTACGACTTTTTATACCATATTTTCAAGACCGCTGTTACTTGAGAACAGCATTTACTAGGAGAGCACTTTCCCCTTACTTAATGTCTTCTGTGACTAAAATAATTACTGTGAGAAAAAAGTCAGCACAAATGGCTGGATTCACTTGTTTGCTTATAATAAAAAATTTAATTCAATGTGATCAGCGGTAAGTTGTTATTTTAAAAAATAAACTTTTCCAATCCATTTTGATTACTGGAACTGTTCTATACTTTGCTAGTGCTTAACATTCACCTGCAATTCCTTAACTACTGGTCTAAATGGTAACAGACTTCGAGTAGAACCATTGAAATTCACAGCACCGAGGAACTCCATTGATCCTGTTGTGTCAGTGCTGGCTCTTTTCATTCAGTCTCCTTTACCTCTTTTCCCATTACTACATTTTATCTATACAGTTCCCTCTTGAAAAGCTAACATACATCCTACCTTGACTATTGCATCAGGTAGTTCAATCCACATCCTAACAACTCTCTGTATAATACTTAACAAGTGAAATTAAGAATAAGAAGCTGAATTCCAAACAGACTCCAAATCTTTCACCTTCTATTGAACTTTCTTTATGTTGTGCCATTAGCAATAGTCAACAGCATCCGTAACATTGAAGATTTACACATTGAAGTTATGGAGGTTATTTTTGGTTGTCCTCTGCTGTTAAACATTTCTATAATTTAATCTTCCTTTAGAATTACTGTAGGTTTCTTTTCCCAAATAAAAACAATTTTCTCATGACCACTTGTTATTTAAAGTAAAGTGTATTTTAATGCAGTAATAAACCTGCTTTAGTAATTGTCTACAATACAGTACCAGTCAATCCATCTCTACAGAGGTGCTCGACCTGACCTGAAACTGACAAAGGGAATACTGGCAAAGAGGATACCGATGATGTGTGGAAACAAATCTGACACAAAACATTTAATAGTTCTTCGCATAACTATATCAAACAAATGTCTCACCTAACCGTACATAACTTGTTTCTTTTTCTGTCCTTTATTCAACTTCACATTTAAATTGTTGTATTTAAGTGCTGAATTATACACAATAAATTCAAAGAGGCTTCAGAGAGGCATGGGAGATGGAATACTGCACGGGTAAAGGTCATATCTATTACATGGCCGTATGTTTGCACAGGGGAAAGGATTTTCTTTTCTTAGCAGATTGGTTTAGCTGAGGTTTGCTGAAATGGATGAGGAGAGGGACAGAAAAAAAAACACAACAAAATTTATCTTTCCAGCAGCAGTATGAGATTTCAAGCATTCAAGAAATGGTTGTAATAACCTGTTGACTGGTGGTCCTGACAAAAGTTTAGCATTACTAGGCACCAATGGTTCCTTTGTCAAATGTATATTCAAAATACCTATCCCTCCTCCTCCCACCCCCCACGCCAACCCCAGCCCCATCACAAGATTACAGCTGAATGAACGTCTACTTAACGCCCCATAAAATGAGCCATAAACGTTCAAGAGCACTGTCAGTGGTCAAGCATTTTTGCAGTTATTGTAATAAAAATATACTTTAGCATATTTGCTGCCGTTTACATATAGTGTAATAACAGATGTGATACAGTACATAACAGGTTATGTTTAAAAATACAATTTATCAGCTCAATGGTCACAGTATAATACTGCATTCTTGAGGGCCTTACGCATGCATTTACATAAACAATATATTAAATTTTAAAAGAAATTATACATTTAAATGTCTTTTTTGTAATCTACGTACACCAATTAGAATCCGATGAATGACAGACCAGTATTGACTTCATGCTTTTTTTCTGAGCATTTTTCCTTAGATATTGCCAGTTTCTAAAAATCTCATTTCAGATATTACACATCATTTAAAAATAAATTTAAGGTTAGACTATAAAAACCTGAAATAACCTGTTTTCCCATCTTTGAGTTTTTTAAAAAAAAATCTTTTAGTCTCATGTAAAATATACATCAAAAAGTAAAAATTATCTTGAAGGGTATTTGTTCTGTTCCTCAGTGTGGAACAAACTGAAACGTGGCTTCTCGAGAGTTCATTTATCCACCTGCTGCATCAGTTCTGTGGCTTCTTTGCTTCTTGGTAAGCATGTCTGCTCACACTCCTCTCGCGTGTTGAATCTGTTCTTGTTCCCCTGGCAGCCACTATAGAGAAACTGTTCACACTGTCTGCCCTCCGCATTAAAGAACCATTGCCATGTAGGAGAGTTGCAGTTCCCATTCTTTCTGGGCTGCTGGCAGACTGCTGTCAAGTAAAGAAATTAAAAATGTGTTCTGATTAAAGACAAGGCGAAAAAGAAAAAAAACCCATCATCATGTATGACCAGGACAAATGAAATATGACCAATACATGATTTAAAATAAAGTTTATATCGGCACTCAGCACCTTTGAAAGAATGATTCCTTTATCTGTTAATAGTCATAATAATAATGATCTCTGCATTAGATATAGTGCCTTATCACGTTTTTGAGACACCTCAAAGCCCTGCACAGAATATACTGTAAAGTGAATTTACTGTATATTCTGCGGGTGAAATGTGATGTGTTCGTCTCTGCGATGAAGATCATGATCGTTTATTTTCCTTTCTTGCTACCCTGATGGCTTTTCCCAGCAAATGTGACATCCTCTGATATTATGACTGTGGTTTGCTTGGGGTGTCTTTTAATTACATTTTTGCTGTATGTAAGGTCTACTTTGTTACAATAAAAGAAAAGATGGGAAAGCTCAATTCAATGTCTCTGCAGTTGACTTGTATATTTTTTAGCCAAGTTTGGGCCTAAAACTAATCATTCACTAACATTTCAATAGAGAGTGAAGTTCTTGATCCAGGAGCAATGTTATACTGAATTTACATTTGCAAACAAATACATATGGAAGACATGGAAAATATTTACTGCTGAAGAGCATTCATGTTGCTGGAGTGAGTGATGGTTCAACACAAAATAAATGTTTATGTATATATGCTCAGTTGTGAATGTTTGAGCAGAGTCTTTCTAAATTTGCACAAGTTTTCTCCTTGCACAGTCCTTGCATTCTCTGAGTTCCTTATTTGTTATTTCATCGAATATCTCCAAAGCCGTTGACTATATAAATGCATTTTGTTGTTGTTGTTGACAAGGTTTGGCACAATGCCCTCCTAGATAAGGTACCATTTTATAGCCACCTTTCAAAGTTATATTCAGTTTCCTTTGAAAATGGTCTATCTTGAACTGTAGTTGTAGCCTATACCTTTGTCTCCTTTTCCCATCAACTCACTACATCCCTCAGTGCTCTTTTCTCTCATCCAGCTTAGTCAACCACATCAATGACATTCTCCAATCATTGTCTGACTCTATCAACTTCTTTGCTGGTGATTAAACTCTAAATTCTTCATGTTTCTTCAGATTGCTCAGTGTAAATAATTTACACTTGTTTAGCTGCATCATCCATGACAGTGATGATCTTTTCTCTTTCAATTCCTAAAACATGCATTTTCTTCAACCCGTTATTTTCAATTGGCTTCACTCTTAGCCTGTCTTTTCTTGAAATTGGAGGTGAAAATTCAATGATTGCAAACTGGAAGTCTCCACACTTATTGTGCCTGAAATTCACTCCCAAATTAATTGGAAAAAAAAACATGATCCGAAGGACAGGAAAGGGCGTTTTTCTTTCTGAGCTTGTCAAATTTTTCAGCCTTTTCTTAGCCAAGAAACAGCCTAAAAGCAAAATGCTGGCCACGAGAGCAACAAAATAATTAATATCATGGATAATTATTTTTAATTATTAGCATTATTTCATCATCTTTGTTAAATAGCCTCAAGAAAGGCTAAAACCAAGTAGTGGAAGCTGAAAAGTATAATAATATATTTGTTTGAATACCTGCCCTTGGCACTCTTCGAATGTTTCTATCAACTTGCTCACACTGCGCTCCTGTGTAGCTTTCTTTACACAAACATTTGTTGGGTCTCACGCACACACCTCCGTGCCGGCATACAGGGTCACACTTTGCTATTGAAGAAATGAACAATCATTAAGTACATCGAAGAAATATTATTATCTCAGAGCGTTTTGATACTCTGTACAATTTATTTACTGCATGTGCATTAATTAAACAACATAACAAAGCATTGCTTCTGGAAGGATTTACTTTTGTGTGGAAACTGCAGTGTTGTGTTGGACATAGATGTTAACTTAATAGACACATTTTAATTTGGAGTGAAGGGAGTTGTTTTCAAACCCCGAATCTCCTGATCTCATCTACACTGTGTGGAAGGCTGGGCATGGGCCAGACAGGTTTCTGTGGTGGGGGAGGGAAATTGAAAGGATATCTCCATCAGGCTCCTTGCATGCATCCTGACAGCTGTCTATAAGTACATGAGTAGTGGCCTGGGAGCAAGCTACTCTTGCCCTTTCAGCAGTGGGAGGTACATGGCTGCGGGTTGGGATTAAAGAAAAGGTTTAACTTCTCACTACCTTAATACTGGTTTTACTTTTAATGTTCAGTTCAATTAATGAATCCCAAATCTTAAACATCGGCCATGTAGGATTTTGATTTACGAGTAAACAGCATAAACACAGGGACTTGTTGACGCTTATCATTTTTTTAAAAGCTAGAATTGCCCTTCAGATGCCATGAGCAAGTCAGGCAAACTAATAGATGTTTTGCGTAGGACACCTGTCCCTTCTACAGATATTCATCTAGCACTGCATGACTTCCCTTTCCTGTGCACCACCCACGTGGCTATCCTGAGGTCTTTTTGACCAGAGAAGGGAGAGAGCAGATGGTCAGGTGAGGACATCAGAGTGGAATTCCACTTTACTCATTTTTAAAGCCAGAAACACACAATTTGTAAAAACAACTTGTTTTTTTTATCAACTTGGTCAAAAGGACGATTGACAAGAAAGAGAGCATTTTTTGTATGGATTCTGTTCGGAATGTGTATGGAAAAACTTATGTATCTTTGACTATATAACATTGACTTCATTTCTTATCAATCATATTTTTGTGAAGTGCTTGGTGATGTTTAGTTTTATGTGAACAAGTGTTATATATACATATATATATGCAAATTGTTGAGAAAATTTAACAGTGGATCCCAGTTAACACTAGAAATACACCCTCAATGTACCTTTAGTTTCACTAATGTAATACTTAATATAGGATTATATGTCCTATACCCACCACTTCTCCAAGTTACAGGAAGAAAAGAAAAATAATGAAAAACATGCAGACAAGATTCACTATGATGCTATGAGGGATGAGGAGCTTCAGTTATGAAGAGAGACTTGAGACGTTGGGAGAATAAGTGATAAAACATCAAATAACAGGCATAACTCAATCTCACGTACAAGTTTTGATGCCAAAAAAAGTGAATTTTACAACAGTAAAATCCAAAGCAATTGATCTGCAATTTTTAAAAAACTTTATTGAAGCGCAGAACAAAAAAAAAACTACTGACCCACTCTACAGAACTCTCCTTCCCAGCCTGGAGTACAGCAACATTTTCCTGTAGGAGTGCAATGCCCATTCCTACATTGGCGTGAGCAGTCTGATGATACTGGCTGTGGAGGCTGCACTGGTCTCTTACATTCTTCTGGGAATAAAGGTCTGTTTAAAAATAAAGAAATACCAAATGTTTAGCAAATGTTTATGTTGTTTGGCTGAGAAGTGTGTTATGTCAAACCTCTGCAATTTGCCAGAGTTTAGAAATGGAACTGATTCAATCAGTAAAATCAAAAGAATGATTTGTTCATTATTTTTTAAAGGACTTTTAAAGTCCTTTTTTTTGAAAAAGAAAAAAATAAACTTTCGATAACGGTTGTTTATTAAAATACAAAAGCACCCAGGGAGAAATGTCTTTACGTTGGTCTTTAAGATCATGGATAATAGGAAAAATACAATGGAAGCTACAATTACAGCATTTCTTAATACAGACACTTGTCTGCAGCTGCAGGAGCACTATATGAACAGACTGCCTCCCTACACAGCCCATAATTAAATACCCCCATCCTCCATAAGCCTCAGAGGCAAAGGAAACATGTAGCTCTCCTGACTTAATTAGCTCTTGGCAACAATTAAATGCCCTAAATAGAAGTCTTCAATTAAGTTTTTGGAAAATCACTTTTTTCCACCTTTAACACTGAGATGAAATTTGCAAATTCTATTTCAAATGGCTGCAATGCTCACCCTACTGAAACTGGGATGTGCCTTGTACTGTTGATCGTGAGTTACTTTTGTCGAAAGGAAGCAAATCAGTACGATTGCATCTAAAATTTTCAAAATGTAGTGGTTCAGATTCAATGCATTTGCTCCAGGAGTACTGCAAAATTCTACACATATAGAAACATTCAGATTAATCTATGAATGGTGTTTTATACTGCATCAAACAGTAGAAGTAGGGCCATTTTCCCTTTGAATTATCAGCATTTATAGACACATTTGGCAGCCCTTGTTTGATAATCCCTAAAAGTCAATCACAGGCATTTGGGTTTAACCTTTAACCCAGTCTTTCCTATTATGTGAAATGGGAATTGATGGATGGAAGGGACAGGGAGGAGTTGTGAAGTTTCAACAAGCAAGTAGAACATTAAAATACCAAATCACTAGTAAACTTCATAATGTTTTCGATTCTTTGTTGTAAAAGAACATTATGCTTTAAAAGGAAGCCTTTGTCAATGAAAAAAAATGAAAAATGTTGCCTCATTTGTTTACAGCCACAAAGAACAATGATATCGAAGGATCACAAGAGAGGTTTGGATAAGGAAGGCCACTTGGCATCAATTCACATCTTGGTGCATAACAACATTATCATCATAATCATGTATGGGCCTTCCGCCTTGTCTCCTTCCACAAACAAATATCTGTTCAAAATGTTTCATAAGCAGATGTGAAGATTTAAATGGATGCGTTGTAAAAATTACATGTACTGAAGCATTGAATGGCAAAGCGAAAAGCAATAACAATAATAATAATCATGTACAATTGTGTGGGAAAGCTGATAGAAAGCAGCGGTTACTGATGTATCCATTTGGAGACCATAAACCAGTATGTAAACTGATGTACCACCTAATGGAAATGTTTAGATTGTAGAAGAAGGTGTTTAAAATTTCAGCCAACAGGCTGTATCACTCCAGTACATTAGGGTACCAAGTCAGTTTCAGGACAGTTGTTTTGGTTGTTTCTAACATGCTCTTTCATGTTCTCCCACACTCATTCACCCCCTCATGCCTCCCTCCCCTTTAGCATTTTTAGTATTGCACTTGTTTTTGTACTTGTGTATCAGCCTGGCTAAAGTTGGTAGCACTTTCGCTGCTGAGACAGAAGCTTGAGGGTACAAGCCCCCATGTCAGAACTTGAACCCACATAGTTTAAGTTGACACCAATGAGGGTGTGTTTCATTGTCAGAGATGCTGTCCTTCGAATGAGATGTTAAAGAAACTGATGTCCCATCAACCTATTTAGATGGCATAAAGATCCATTGGCACTATTTGAAAAGAGAAGGGAGTTTCTCCCAGTGTTCTGGCCAACAATCCCCCAAATAAAATTGGTCATTTGTTTCATGGCTGTTTTGGGACACTGATGTGTGAAATTGGGCTATCACATTCACTTACAAATACACAATCGCTCTACTTCACAATAAATCCTCTGACGTGCTTTGGGACATCCTCCCAATGCAATGAAGCACTAAACCAAACCATATTATTATTTTTTAAGATTTGGCGGTATTGTTGCAAAGTAGAACTGTTTGCTTTAAAGGAAGGGCAAATTAAGGGCAAGTGCCTTGAATGTTAAAGAAGACTGTAATTTCATTGATGACTAGTATAAGTGCTGCCAGTTTCCAGCATTAGTAATGGAAAAATAATATGATTATTATTTTATTCTACCATATCATATCAGAGCAAAAACTCTGGAACAATTTCTCAGAGTGTGAAAACAATTTTTTACACAATGGCCAGTAAATTGACGGTGTGGACAGTAGGGTTGTAGAAACCCTTCCTTTAGTGGAAGGAAAATGTCACACTGGTGCAGCTGGGGTGCTTATTTGAGATTCAGGTTAAGACGTTTTGATGAGGCAGAGGCGAGAATATATGCTTCACATCTGGTGCCTTCTATAACGGACTAAACAGTGTTTGATATGAGTCTGAAAATGGAACAAAATCTGTTTTGTTTCCTACTGTTGACACCCCTCAACTTGCTGAGCACAAAATGAATCCGAAACATATGTTACACAATAGATGGTAGCATCGGGGGCTGGCCCATGCAGGTGAGGGAGGGGGGTGGGAGAGATGCAAGGGGAGTAAAGCTATACTGCATTTAATGCTGGCACTGTGCACAATCTAGACCATATATTTGACTTAACTAAGTTATGAATGACTGTGAGAGAGAAGCAAGCCACGTACGTTAAACAAATATTTCAAAAAGCACATTTGTCTTTGGGATGGAACACTGTAGCAGTTTCAGGCAGTCGTAGACTAGGATTCGTCCGGCCCAATCTATCCAAATTTCTCCAAATATTCCTTCTTTTGACAATGCTGTTGATAACTTGGAATAGAAAGTAATCGTAACCCCTCTGAATTATATTCTGTGTCCCATAAATGATTAAACAACACACAGAATTTGCAGACAGAGCTACAATGTTGCCTCGTCCTAAAGTTCAAAGTGATTTCATCTCGAGTAAAATAACAAGCATTTGAGGTATTTCAGGTGGATGTTAAAGATCCCATAACACTATTCAAAAAGAGAAGGGAGTTTCTCACAGTGTCCTGGCCATCAAACGCCAGATAAAATTGGTCACTCACTCTTTGTGAGACACAACCGGCTGCCATGTTTCGCCCACAAAATACACAGTCATACTACTTTACAGTATATCTTGTGAAGCGCTTTGAGACGTTTTGACAACATGATAAGATAGTATATCAAATGCAAGTATTGTTATTACTGTTGTCTATAAATATATGTATAAATATATGGCATCGGTACTCAGGTGGAAATTTAGCAGAGTTACAAAGTACAATAAATAATCATTGCATCAACTGGTTTGTGGTCCATTTCTTCTCAATTCATGAACTGGGGGAGCCACATCAATCATCCCCTATTTAATGAAAAAATATTGAACGGATGCCCAATATCAGCAGAAGGAAGTCATTGTGAGTAATTTCAAGAATTACACTAACACCAGTTTTGTTTAGATAAGGCAGTGGAAAAGATTTTTTGAAAAAAATTAGATTAGCTGGCTCTGTTGTTTTTTCCGAGTTAAGCGGAAATTAAAACAATATTGCATTAGTGCATGACTTTTAGCAATAGAGCTTTGTGATTGGAACTAATATAGGACTATTACTGGTATCTGATGGCGCACAGCCCTTAACAGCTATGACATGTTTGAAAAACGATACCCAGCCTGGTTTGTATTGATAGCAATAGCTCAGAGGTCAGCACAACCACTAAACAGTTTGTATTACAATCGGGGTGGTCATGAAAACAACACCTGCTGCATGAGCACTTGACAAAACAGCTGGGTCAACAGTCACTGTGGGAATTTATCAATGCAAGATCTATTGCGGGAGAGGGCATGGGGAATGTACTACCATTGCCTAAAATTCCCTTCACTTTTTGTTAGTTTAAGTGCTTGGAAAGTTGAAATGCACACAAATTATTATTAAAGCTCTTAAGGGAATGGTTTCTGCGTGTGGCTGGGTAATTGAGATAAGCAATCTGTGGTGATGTTATGCTCACTGGCTAATTAAACACAGCATGGTGCTAATTTTAGTGTGTTATTCCATACACAGAATTGTTTTAATTCATGCTGGAAAATGCTCTGGCAAATGTTACATAAAAGTTAAAATATGTTTTTTAAGCATCACTGTCAGAAGAGTACACGTAAGTAACAGTTTAAAAGCAGACACCATTGGGATTAGTCCAGCCAGCCAGCCACTGGGGAAACAGACTCTGTAAATTGCCAACATACAGGAGCCATTTTTATTCAGCCAATACAGCACGTTACATTCATCACATCACCACTACAACCCATCAAGCTTAGCTCAATGCGATGTGAGGTCCCAGTGTAACCTTCCAGATATTTCAGTTCAAGACCACCCCGGTGGTTTGGGCAACATGAACACAAAACCAAGGTCAATTGAGCCAGTGTCTTGAAATCAGATACAAATACTGTAACAGATACGATGTGCAAAATAACTCAAACAGACCAAAAAAAAAGAACTATTTAATCTAATGTGCAAAGATTTGTTAGTAGTGTACCACGATAACAAGTTTAAAAACCTTGTAAGCCTGACTGTGAGCCAGTTCTGGTACATAAAGATTTTGCCCTTGGAACCATGAAAACCTCTCGACTGCTTGACAACTGAGACAGGACAAATGTAGTACTGTCATTCCCCAAATAGCTGAAGAGGTTTTTGCCTTTAACTCTTTAAGACAATGTCCCAAAAGAGGGCTTTTTAAAATATATGTGTATAAAATTAAACTGTGTTCAGATTTCTCCAGATGATAAACATGGATTAAAATACTTTCATCTTTATGTAAGGTTCAAGTCATGGATTTCAGCACTTTTTGATACAGCACGATCACTGATATGTGTCTTTTTTATGATACCC